CATAATTTGTATTTTGCCTCTGTTGGGATAGCAGGGTGTTTGAAAACTGGAGCCACTTTGTACGTGACATTGTTGGCTTGTTGGATTCTCGTTTCTATGTCTCAGTCTTTTTTTACCATAGTATGTTAAGATGCTTCCCAAGTATTTGAATTATTACACCTTTTCAGACTTTGATGTTTGATGTTTGACGTTTGATGTTTGACGTTTGATGTTTATGTGAGGCCAGCTCTTGTTGTGATGGTGCTTTTACTTGCTCTTTGAATAGGTCTTAGACAATCTAGCAGTGTTCCATCTATACCATAGTTTTCAAGGACATCCCATAGAAAATCTCTGTTCACTTTCTCAAAAGCGATGCTCGTTTGGTGTCTGTGTTCTACTGTCTTTTCGCTAATTTGCCTCGAGGCACAGATAGCGCCAGTCCAACCTCTTCCTTTTTCATTGAATTCACCCCTTTAAAATTCAGCATTGTTTTGTATACTTAGATTTGAAGCATTTTACCTCCGATCCATATCTTTAGTGGCTCTCCAACGTTCTCAGGCATAAAATAAATGTGAAATAATATTAGGGTATATATCATCAATATCACCGCATCTCGCCAGGTGCAAGATTTCCCACAGGCTGTCCTGTGCTCTAGGGGTGTCATGGTTTGTTACTTTCAATGCTAAAAGCATTCTATTTTCCGCGTTGTGAGCGGCCAGCATGTTATATTTTCCACGTTATCATCGGCCGGCACTGTGTGTGTTACTGTGTGTGCGTGCGATCTGCGTTAGCTCGTCATCGCCAAGAATACAATTTTACTGTGACTTGATGACTTCTCACAGGGCTAACGCAAAATGTAACCAATTCTCAAACCAGGGACAGTTGTGCAAGAGACCTAGTTGACAGAGGAAAAAAAAAACTAGTTGGGTGGTCCCTCACGAGAATAAATGTGTAGCTCATTATGGCCTGCAATGAGAGAGTTGCACTTTTTTCTGTTGGGTCTTGAACGAACGGGAGCCGCTTTTCTGCAAGGTCTGTTTAATTAAGCAGCGAAGTGGAAGGAACACATATCCTAAAAAACCCCTACAACATAGTACAGACCGTGGGAACGATAACGGGATGAATGAGCGCCGGCACGATCTATTGCACCTGGCGAGATGCGGAGATGTTTATGATTCGTACCATTGCAACTGAAAATACGTGATCTGGTTTCAAAACTTTATGAGAGTGACAGAAGCAGAGAGAAAGAAAGAGAGAGAGACAGACAGAGAGAGACAGAGAGATAGAGATATAGAGGATGTGTATATAACATCACTATCGTCTGGAAAGACGGAAAGGTGCCAACATAATCGATCGACCCGCTTTGCATATCTTTTTGTTTGTTTAATATTTCTTGCTGTAATCTTGCTTAGAATTAATTACTTGTTCTCTAGTTTATGGCAGTGCATATAGCTTCGGCGCTTCTGCATTTTTGAATACACTTCCATGCGTCTTCCACGCTATAACACTGAATTATTCTTGCATGATCATTCTTGTGTAAAACGGTAGTTTATCACCGGTAGATACTTTATTTTAATAATATCGTTCTAGTGGCTTTGCGACAGTAGTAGAATGAGAGTTGTACCTGGAAAGATGTTGGTAACTTATAAGGTGATGATATTTCAAAGACAGCAGCAAAAGTACCGAGCCAACTTTAATTGTGAAGACGGCAGATACTTTTTAAATTGATTTAATTCTTGTTTTGCTGCTTCTTAAATTGTCTTTCTGTGTTACACTATTGCTCAATCTCCGGCCACCTCAGCTGCAGCAAATATGATTGTTTAGCTCGATATGCAACTCTTCTTTTACCTGTTTTCTTTGTGACGTGGTTGACTATGTTTTCTTAGTTGTTATTTGCTATTTCACTGCTATCACCTCTCTCGTAAATGCTCTGAGGACCATCATAAAAAAAGTGTTTTATAAATATGTCCAACAATTAGGTAATGAGACTGATTCCATAAAAAAAAAAAATAATCAACAGTTGAAGATATAACCTGTATCGGATTCAAAGTAAGCTCCGTATGCATTGATACAGAAAGTGGCATGATCTAACAAACACTGAAACGACCTCTGTAGTTCTTCTGTTGTTATGGCTCTTAACGTCGATGTTACGGCCTTTGGATGTCATCAATATCGTTAAAGAAGCGTCCTTTCAATCGTAACTTTAATTTTAAGAATAGAAAATAATCACACAGAAACAATCACTTGTTTCTGGGAAAAAATTCTTGTTTGGATGATGTCTATTGTTTACTTAACCCGCTGATGTTTTTGGTCATCAGACAATGAATGTGGTACAAACCGCCAAGCAACTTTTTTTCTTCTTAAAATCTTGCACTAAAATGTTATGAATGGTCTCACTATTAACACTAGATTCATTTGCCATCATCCTCACAGTAAAACAAATATCTTCTTGTATCCGTTCTCTGACTTTTGCAATTACAGTGGAACCTCGCTAAACGAGCATAATTCGTTCCAGAATCATACTCGTTAAGCGAAACACTCGTTATGCGAAACAATTTTTCCCATATAAATTAATGTAAAATACGATAATGCGTTCCATGTCAAAAAAGATACTCACAAAATGTTATGTATAACGTTTATTCAAAGAAAATTATAAACATTTTGTTAAGGAGAGTGGATCACCTTCATCTTTTCTTCAAACGCGTAACGAACCCACATGGAATGCGAATTCGATTAGCAGAAAAAAAGGTCGAAATAATTATGATACATAGCTTATTATTTTTTTTTAATAGAAAGATGTCCAGAGATTTGTTTTTGCCGACGCTTCAAAATTTGGCGAACATGCGACACAGCATTGTCATTAAATAAATTTGCAACGTGCATAGCCACTTCCTTATAAGGGCGATGCTTCTCAATGTAAGATGCAACAGTTTGCCATGCTTTTAACATTTCTCTTATTTCGCCAGAAAATTGTTGCTTTTCTGTTACCTCCTCCTCTGACAACCTTTCCTCCAAAACGTAGCTCTTGGCTGTGTTCTTCCACAAGCTCTTTGATATCACTGTTATCCACCTACAACCCTATGATAGTAGCCAAAGACCTAATCTCGTTGACTACAGGTTTCACTGTCTCGAACCCCTTAAAGTCACAAGATAGACAACACTCTCCGGCCAAAGCTTCTTCCAAGCAGAAGATAAGATTCTCTTGGTAACCCCTTCTCCCGCCTTGTCGATCATCTTGAGGCAGGCAACGATGTGGACGTGATTTTTCTCTAAAACTCTTTGAGAGTGAGGTTGGTCCCTTCAGTCACATGAAAACAACGCTCGAAGAGTGCTTTAGTGTAGAGTTTCTTAAAGTTAGAAATAACTTGCTTGTCCATGAGTTGGAGTAACGGAGTGGTGTTGGTGTTGATCTTGATGAACTTATATTCTTCAGAGAGGTCATCTTGTAGGCCTGGAAGATTCATGTACATAAATCACAATATAACACAAGTTTGAGAAAATGTGTGATCACAAGTTACAGTACGATGCTACTGGAACGAGTGCTAAACACAGACTGATGTAACTTGCGCACAATTCGGGACTTTCCCTCTCCTCGCCACTCGTTATGCGAAACGTCGCTCGTTAAGCAAAGTCATTTTTTGTTACAGTTTTGCTCGTTATGCGAATTACTCGTTATGCGAGGTGCTCGTTAAGCGAGGTTCTACAGTACTTCTATAAACTTGTTGCATCAATTTAACTGTTTCAATGGCGCTTTTTTTCGAGTTTTAAAAAAAGAATTTAGTGTTAGCTTTTTGCTCCGTGATGATTACGTAACAATTCACCTCTGACTAGGTCAACACAATGGCAGCTTTTTTGTTGTCTTCATATGGAGCGGCTATGAAAAGTTGCCTGATCATAGATGTTGCCTCTTAAGATTTCATGCGCTATATAGATGACCTTTTTTTTCTTGGCCAGAATAAAATCAATTTTATTACCTTTTTTTTTTTACGATATATATATATATATATATATATATATATATATATATATATATATATATATATATATATATATATATATATATATATATATATATATATATATATATATATAAACATTTATACATATACATACATACATACATACTAAGAGTATGTTGAATTTTAATTTTAATGCACTCGATCACCTGAATGCGAAGTCTATGAATCTCCTAATGTGCAAAAGTAGTTCCTTAGATTGTTAGATCAAATTCCATGCATAAATCAACTATAATTCTAGATTTTTATTCACTGTTTCGAATCATTTCTTCAAAGGTTATCTTGATAAGTATATGAACACTATCTACTTTTGCCTTAAAATCTCTCATTGCTATCAAAATATCATGTTTTGGGACTACTGCAAACATTATGCTGCAATCCCTCATACAACATATATTTGTGACGAGTGTTATATTCTGCCGATATTCCTTACGTCCTTCTTAGGACGTTATTTTTTGTTATTTGAAGCCCCACTCTGGCTTTTGCCAGGGGCCGCAATATAGGCGGTCATCATTATGGCCCTGAACGCGGTTTCTGGGACCTCTCCACGGTGATCCTCATCCGCATGGTGGCACTTTGTGTCATCGGGTGTTTATCGCTTGTGTGATGTCCTGGTGGGGTAAAAAAGCCAAGCCTATTCTGCCGGTGACCGGGTGACGAACTCCATGTGGTCCGGGTTTACGCCCGGGGGTAGGCAGAAAGGCCACATTTCTCCCAGATTTACGGTATTTATCATGGAATCAAGGCCGAATGGTTGCGATATCCATAATACCGAGGCTAAGGGTTAATAACTCCTGTTCTGGATACTTAAAAAAAAATGACAAAGGATCACATGTCTTTAATGTTGTGGTATCATATGCTAGGCTTACCTGCACCGAACGCCGACCAATAATTTTTGCTAAGAAACCTCAAGCACTTCTTTTGTATCTTGACCCTGAACCGTCTGTGTAAATAATCAAATCAGTAATAATGAATATGTACTAACATTATGTCTGCTTATGGTAGATCAGAGGCGGACCACAGAAAGTGCTTCAGTAGTCGTCGGCAGAAAATATTTGCAAGGTACAGACCCACGTACTGCCCATGGCCTTGAACTTCAAACGAGCAGACAGGAAGATCAACAAACAACAAGTCAAAATTCAGATCGGACACATGCTAACGTTGTAAACATTCCAAAGACAGGTGAGCTTAAAATCACAAACATTAAAGTGTAAAAAGGCTTAGCCGTCTAAATTACACAAATCCATATCTAGAACTTTAAATTCAATAATCTGCCACAGAGAATGTGGAACTAAACCTGCAGTGATTGTCTCGGAGCTGTAGGATTTCCATGTTACACTATAATAGTCATCCCCTTGTGAGATGCTATTTTTTGTTATTTGCCCGGGGACCCTAAATATAGCCGGGCCATAAATAAGGCCTAAAGGCTGAACGGGGTTTTAAGGACCTCTCCACGGGTGATCCTCATCTGTATGGTGGCACTTCGTGTCACCGGGTGTTTATCGCTTGTGTGATGCCCTGGTGGTGTACAACTTACAAACATACATACATTTCCATGTTAGTGATACATATTATCAATTTGTATTTCCTGTTTTATTTTTTTTATTTTTTTCAAGTTTGTGTGTGTGTGTGTGCGTGCGTGTGTGTATGTGTATGTATGTATGTGTATGTGTGTGTGTGAGTGTGTGTGTTTTTGTATGTGTGTTAATGTAGACATGTATAAGCCACTGATTCTGATACTTTATTACTTAAATCAGTATAACCAATATAATTAATCCTGTTCATGTAACTATATTTTTGAGCACCTTACAGATGATAAACAAATGCATTTTGTTTGACGCTTTCAAACTACCAATGTGCTGTTCAAGCTAGTGCGAACTGTAGTTAGAGTTCAGAGATGAATCCCAACTTGTCACTATGTGTAATGCATCTATTCCTATGTGGACACATTGGAACATAATGAAGCATATACCAGCTTTAGATAACGACACCTTTTCATCCTGTGGCAAGTCCTTGTGCGGAACGTCGTTACCATTTGCGCACGCATGAAACACACTCAGTCCTATAACATTACACTATTGTACACGTTCATGGCTATGATATATTTGACAACACGGGACAACAAAATTTCATCAGACAAAGCTCGCATGAAACCCACTCAGTCCCATAACATTACACTATTGTACAAGTTCATGGCTAAGATATATTTGACAACACAGGACAACACAATTTCATCAGATAAAAATCTTACAGATGTTGATGTGCTGAGAACGAATATGTCAATGAAAAAAAGAGAAATGGGCCACAGTTTCTAAGAAATCTTAAGAACAATGTATATATTGCTATATATATAATCTATGCATTACCACAGATAAAACTGGCTGTCATCACAAAATTAAAAAAAAAATAATGATGAAGAAATTGAAAATGTCACAAACTTTGAATATCTAGGCTCTATAATAAACAACAATGGAGACTGTTCGACATAAATTAACAGGAGGATGGCCATAGCAATGCAAAGATTGAACAGCCTTAAAAGTGTATGGTTAAGCCCCAGCAAGGAGATGAAAATTAGAATTTTGAGAGCATGCATCTTCCCTGTGGCTACATACGGATGTGTGTAGTGGACTATCAGTCCTTAAGAAAGAGAATAAGGAGTTTTTGAGCTGAAATGCTATAGAAAGATTCTCAGAATATCTTGGACAAAAAAGATGAGAAATATTGACATCTTAAAAGATCTGAACATCAAGGAAGATTGGCTAATAAACAGCATTCTTTCTCGAAAGCTGAAAAATTTTGGTCATATCAAGCGCCACGACGAATTGGAAAAAAATTATAGCAGAAGGCATGGTACCAGGAAGGAGGGGCAGGGGCCGACCGACACGAAGATGGGCACAGGATATAATTGACTCCTTGAGTGTGAAAGTACATTAGGCAGGAGAACTGGCGAGAGACCGAGTTTCTTTCAGGCAGACTGTGATGAGAGCGACGTTCTGCAAAGGACCTGCTACATGATGTTGATGATGCATTACTCTATTTTTTACAACCACACACACGCACACACACACACACACACACACACACACACATATATATATATATATATATATATATATATATATATATATATATATGAGTGTGTGTGTGTGTGTGTGTGTGTGTGTGCGTGTGCGTGGTTGTGAAAAACAGAGTAATGCATAGAGTATACCGACTCGCTAAATCCTCCTCACCCCCCTCTCTTAAAAAAAAAAAAAAGGCCCAAAACAGCAACACATTAGTTTTTTTTTTCTAAAACCAAAAACCAAAAACAACAAACAAACTAATTGCTTTGACGGACAATACAAATTACCTAATAAGAAGTATGATGGACACATGTTACTATGATGGACACTTGATAGATATACTATGATAATTGATACTATGATAGAAACATGATACCGTGATGGATAATTGATACTATGATGTACACATGATACTACGAAGGACACATTATACTATGATGGACATATGATACTGTGATGGACACATGATACTAAGACGGAAGCATGATAGTATGACAGACAAATGATGATTTGACGGACATATGATACTACGATGGACACATGATACTATGACGGACACATGCTACTATGATGAACACATAATACTACGACTGACACATGATACTATGATGTGCACATGATACTGTGATGGACACATGATACTATGACGGAACGCACGATAGTATGACAGACACGTGATACTGTGATGGATACATTATACTATGATGGACACATGATACTATGATGGACACATGATACTATGATGAACACATAATACTACGATTGACACATATTACTATGATGGGCACATAATACTGTGATAGACACATGATACTATGACGGACGGATGATAGTATGACAGACACATGATAATATGACGGACATATGATACTATGATGGGCATATGATACTATGACAGACACATGATAGTATGACGGACACATGATTCTTTGACGGACATATGATACTATGACGGACACATGATACGCATCGATACAAGATCGCCTCTATTTCCTATGTCACTTTTCCTTACATCTATGCAGCTTCTCAGGTTCATCTCCAACGATTGGTCAACAGTGGACAACGAATTCTAGCATATAATTTATTATTTAACCTTATTTCCGAATACGAACATTAATTAACAGAGAAAATAACTCATTACACATAGCCATCTCTAAAACATCTAAAGGAGAGCCAATCAAAATATGTCAATGTAATTTTCCTGTTTTTATTTTTTTTTTTTTTCAAATTTTCTAACCCGAATGGAGCATAACATGGACACTATCTAAAGCCCATATACGCAAAATCATCACCTGCGAGATTAGGTGCCTGAGAAAAGCAGCCAACCTAACCATACGAGAAACTGTCACTTAGTGCTAAATTCATCGAGAAACAGCAGATAAAGGTAAAGGTAAAGTCGGAAGATGTGAACCAGCGTCACTGCACACGTTGTTAAACCATAAGTGCTCTGCCACCAGTACGGACAGATGATAAGAAACTCCGCCTGTGTCGCCGTTCGCACGTAACGCTGTAGCTACAGGGACGTTCCTCCATTTACCTCAGAGTGTCACTCTGGTACCCATTCCCTAGAGGCTGGGTGAACCCCGGGAACCGCCCGACTGTGGCTGCAGCGAGTCGCAGCTGGATTTGAAAGCGAGCCTTTTATCGACTAGGCTAACGCGGCTTCCATAGATCACGTGGTTTAGCCATCTCGTTAGAATGCAGCAAGATCAAAAACCATCATAAGCATTACATCTCAGAAGATCAGCTACAAGAGCAAGAGGACGGCAGCAGAAAACATGGATCGATAACCTTAAAGACACTATACGGCATGGCAATAGCCAGTGGCAGCCAACGTGCACTGGATCGCAAATTATTCCTCCTTGCGGCGCTTAACGGCAGAGGTGGTTTATGATGATGATGATGATGATGATGATGATGAATGGAGCATAAGTAAGTTAGGTAAGCACAATGTTTACTTTGATACAAGTGCCATCATAAATGAATTGAAAGAAAAAATCCCACCTAAAAGCAGATTGACACTCTGTCTGTCGATGTTTGTAAGTTTTGGAGAGACATCAATATTTCAGACAAAGTAGCAAAAACTGGCAAAAGATTTTATCTGACAACATTACTTCAAGGGTATATAGAGCATTTTGGCAAACATCCTTGTAGGTGTGGCTGAACCAAACACCATATCAAAGAATTACACATAAATCGACTGAGAGAAAACCGTATCCAGTACCTGACCAGTATTAACACATCAATAGACCACATAATTTTTTTTAGAAACTACCATTGTAGCAACATTAAAATCTTGCTATTCCTCTCCAGTAGTCAGTGTAGAGACAAAAAGCAGGTTAATGCTAATGTGTGTGAAATTCAACAAAAGAGCTGATTTCTTTCCTAAACTTAGATGCGAACCTATCAGAACGCCCCTGATTTAATTTTCACGACGGATAATGCCCCATTGTTCTCAAAAGACATCTAACACTTTTGCGCCCCCCCCCCCCCCCTCTCTCCCGGACTGTTTGAATGAGGACATTTTAACGTCCTCAGCGACTTGAGTCCGTTTGACGAGACTTCTTTTTAAAGACAGCCCTAATGTTGCAACATCTATTGATGACATGTTTATATTTAATATTTAATATTTGATTTAATATTTAATTAAATATTCTACGGTCTGGTCCTTTCCCCCTCTGGCCATCCTCACTGTCAGTGCTACCCAGATTGAACGACTCGAAAAGGTGCAAAATGAAGCCATGCGCATTATTTTGGGATGGACAAGAGACACATCTTGTGGAGCAATGAGGTATCTACTTGACTTTCCAACAATGAACCAAAGGATCAGGATGTGGAGGGCTCGGGCATACCTCAAAATATGTGCTGATAAGAAACACCCACAGCATCAAGCGCTTTTTAGTGAAAAGGGCGACAGACCGAAGAGGGAAAAATCGTTTCTAGGTCGGGCAGAAGATGTTATTAGGCAAATATGCAGCCTAACCGACATCATTCCTGGTGCAGAATGGATACCTGTGCCTCAGGCGTTTATTTGTACATTTTCCTGTATTGTCACACTCAACAGGCGATGTAGAGAAGAGAATCCTGTTGCTGTTAATGCAGAGGTCAACGCTCTCATCG